ATGTAAGAACTCAGGTTACAGCATGACTCATACCTTAAATATTTAGTATATATATACACTAGTTGATAGGAATATGCATACAAATGTGCCATTCATAATTGAATATATATAATTGAAGGTACACATATTCATTTTTTTGTACATGATTTTATGTAAAAATTAGTTCTATTATGGAGGTCATGTAAGGTTTATTTTTCAGTTCATGCAAATTTTAGGGTTAGTGTTCTGGTATGGGAATTTGTATCTTCTAAAATAGAGTACTCATAAGAATGAATGTGATAATATGTGTGGCAATATATATGTATATAAAAATACGTGTTCTCACCCAGGGTACATTATGATGAGAGTAATGATAGTATGCATTTTTAAAATTTGAGTATTCATGGATAAGTATTATAGTGAATATGTGACTAGTTGTGTAGCAATTCCATTGATAAAAGGAAACAGAATATATATGTAAAATCTCATAGTATCTGTTTTTTTTGTTGATATTACATTTAGTTTTACCAATAATGTTTGAATAAGTAGTCAATATTTAATTGGGTTAGAGTTAGGGTTAGAGATTGAATAAGTAGACTGTAAAACATGAAAATTCAAAGAATGTGTGTTTGAACATGTGATAGGCAAAAATACTTACATGCCCTCCTAAACAGTGAGATAAAATTACCTTTGCCCAAAATAAGAGACAATTATAGGGAGAATAAGAAGGATGTCTGTGATTGCATATCTGAAATGGGAAATGCTCAGGAGCTCAAAATGTTGGAGGTAATAGAGAAGAGTATAAAGATAGGGTAAAGGTAAACAAGGCACAAATATGAAAGTGTGCTGGCCTAATGATTGCTTGACAACTTGCCTCTACAATTTTGGTACTTGAAATTTATGTTGCTGTTGAGTGTTGGCTCTCTTTGAAGTTAGAAAATCACAACTGGATCTCCACCTAAGTGAACTAGAAGACATAGTTTTCTGTTTTCCAATGTGCATGAGGCAGGAGAGCTGAATCCTCTTCCTGGAGATAAACTGTGACCCGTGGGGGCTGAATGTCTCTGTGTGCAGTGTGAAGCCATTGGGAAACCATCTAGGTTTCACAGTAGTTCTAATGCTATCACAGGGAGTTTGGTATTTGTTTAAAGAAGGATATCAAGCTCAGCTGGGACAAAGTGCTAGAGGGACTTACATCACAGGTGGTGAATCAATATCTGCAGGAGAAAACATCAGCCTGACTGCTATCACATACATATTTCCCAACTCAGACTAGAACCCTGATTCTGAGTATAGCTCCAAAAAATTCTCCACAACAGGATGCCTTGACTTGGGACAGTCTGCTAGCTTCATGATTTGAGAAACATGCTGTTTGGATGCCAATGCCACATCCACATGGTTTTGTCACAGATTTCTTGGCACACACCTACTCTCCTGCCCCAGGCACCTTCATCAGCATGCTCAAACTCACTGGTTCTATGATCTCCAGCATTTTCATGAGTTTCTGTCAATGAATTCCCTCTGTCATTCAGTCATGACGAGCAATAAGGAGCTATTTTAAAGTGCTTCAGTGGTTCCAGGTCATGGGAATTTTCAAATTTTCAGGCTATTGGTATGGCCATATTTGAAGAATGAAGTAAGAGGTTATGTGGAATTTGGATTGAGACAAGGGCTAATAATTGGTGAAGAATCTCCTTTAGCTGGAACATCTGTAGAACTCATGCCAAGTGGGCTTTGCAGATCTTGGTCAACAGGCTGCATGCAGCCGTTCAAATGGGTCTAAATTTTGAGAAACATGTGTGTTTCAGGCTTTCAACTTTGGCTCATAAGGCTCTGCAGAGAATAATGTGTGAATTCATCACTGAGATTCCTGATGTTGTGGAAAATCCACACTGGGCCTTGCTTTCATTTCCCAAAGACATCTCTGGTGCTGGGGTACCTAAAATCCTAAACAATTTGCTGAAACACATGTATTGGGTAAGCCCCAGAATGCAGGTCTCTGCTGAGATTCACACCACTGTTACATCTGAGGTTTACACAACTATCTCTTACAACCACCTCACCAATAACCACCATTCAAACAAGAACTCTCCCTCATGGAACTAAGTCCACTCATCTTCTTCCTTATAAACACTCATCCTAAATATCCGACTGGAGGATTCCAGAACTACACAAGTCCAGAATGGTTAAGTGGAAGTGTCCATGCCCTTCATTTGTCTAAGGTCATGGTAGGCTTGACACCCTTCCTGAGAATGAGGGAAGATAAAATGGGCCAAGAGTACATACTGCTATTCAATCCAAATTAGATGCCAAGTGTCTGCAAATGGTGGGATTTTTATGTGTATTTGAGCCAGAAGGAACTCAAACACCTTTGGACTAGCTACCTTAGTGTGAGGACAAATTCATTTGACAAAAATGGTCCCTGTTCTTATTTCATGAATGTTTGCAACCTTACATGAAGAAGTGGATATTCTCCACCCAGAATTGTGTTTTCTTTAATAATATTGGTTTTGGATGGACACACATCTCTTTACTTATTTTTATGTGGTGCTGAGGATCTAATTCATTGCCTCACACAGGTGGGGAAAAACGTTTAGCACTGAAGAACAGATGCAGCCCATTCATGCAAATTTCCAAAGTACTTTTCCTGAGGCAAATACCTTTCTCACAGTCAGGGGATCAGAACAATAGGGAAAAACAAATCTCTGGACACACTTTTCCACAGGACCAAGGCAATGGCAATGAATGAATTCTGCTGCTCATTCTGCTTCAAGATCTACCTATCCAGCAGAATTCTCTTGAAGTTGACATTATGCTTCTCAGGGCTGATGAGCTGCATTTATGTACCCCAGGATACATTCTGACATCTACATTTAAGGTTCTCAGCAGGTCTAAGTTCCTCTAAATACCTGTACTGCAACCCCAACTCTATACATGCTCTTCTATGAAATTTGATTAAGGAAATGAAGTAAGGTTAGAGTTAACAGGACATTTGGATTTTGGTTAGGAGTCATTGGAGAGGAAGAATATCAGTATTGGGAAACATGTATATTCATAAGAATGTATAGGTGAAAAATTGATATGAAAACATAAAAGTATGTATGAGATGAAACATAGAAGGACACTAGGTGGGCAATTTAGATACTTATTTTTTAATTCACTGACACCACAATGTATCCTAAGAATCAATATATGATGATCTAGGAAGTGTACATTGATAAGTGGATGTATAAGTCAACATCCACTAAAATATGCACAGTGGGCACATTTACAATGTAGATTTAGGAAGAAGAATGAGTTGAGGATTTGTATTGAATTTTCTTTGGCAACAGGGGTTGTGTTAGATATTGAATGTGAATGTTAGCACACATGAATAAACATTAGAAGGAACATGAGAAAATATGTATGAAAACATAAAAATATGTAAGTCCTGAGATATAGAAATGTATCAGGTGAGTTAAATGATTATTACTATTTTTAAATTGTGAATGGCAGAATATATAATATTATGAAAACACAAAATCTGTAGGCACCAATATCATTGAATATTGAATGGATTGCTCAACATACACATGTACATTCATAGGAATACAGGATTTCTTTTAAAGTTCAGGTGTGGTACAAACAAAAGTTCAGGATTAATATTGAATTTTGTGTCAGTAAGGTTTCTTTTATGAAATGAAGATGTATGTCAGATAACATGAGTCTTTTTTTTCACCATACTTGTGCAAATATTGGAAAATGTACACGTTAGAGTTTTTCGATAGGGGAAGATATATGGAGTGTTTTATATATCACAATTTTTATCCAGTTGATGCATGTATGTATGCTAAGATGAATACATAATATTTTTCATGCAAACATAAAAGGGAAATTTGAAACTGTGATTTAAATATGCCCACAATGGGCTGGGGATGTGGCTCAAGTGGTAGTGTGCTCACCTGGCATGCACAGGGCGCTGGGTTTGATCCTCAGCACCACATAAAAATAAAATAAAGATGTTGTGTCCACCAAAAACTAAAAAATAAATATTAAAATATTCTCTCTCTCTCTCCCTCTCTTTAAAAAATATTATAAAAATATGCACACAATCTGATATTCATGAATATGCATAAATTCAAAGTAGATCTAAGTATTGTGGTTACATTAAGAATCATTACACATAATGAGTTTATTTGGGTTTTGCTTAGAAAATGAATGTGTTTACTAAATATGATGTATGATCAGAAGAATATTCATATGAAAATAAGTAAGAACACATGTATGAATATATGTGTTCTAAAACAAGAAATTATTTAAAGTCAATCATATGTATACACAATTTTAAATATGGGGTTGATTGGATATATCATAGATTGAATATGAACTAAATTAAGGGCTATGTACCAATGATAAGGAATGCATAAATCAATATCCATATCATTAGGTATAGTTACTGTGGCAAAATTAGGGTAACTATTCAATATTGAATGAGGTTAGAGTGAGTATGAGAAAATGACTATGTATAGCAGGAAATATGAATATTTGTTGGAATGAGCTTGTGAAAGTATGCATAAGAGTCCATGTAAATACACACTATCAACTCAGGTCAGAGTACAGAGTTATTCACCTATTCAATATTGCATAATTTGTGCCCTGTATCTCCATTATATACATAAGTCTATACTAATAGACTTATTAGTCTATTAGATATGAATAGATATGGATACATGTCATTGATAATAGAATATACAACCTTCAAAGTACACATAAATATTCATTTACCTTCACTGCTTTCATGTCAATCCTTGTCCTGTGATGGAGGTCATGTTAGGTTGAATTTTTATTTCCAGCCCAACTTGATGCTGAATGTTGTGCTTAGAGAATTGGTACCTTCCAACATCAGGGAAACCATAAGAATATATATGTGGAATCATCTATGAAAATATGTATGTATATGAAAATATGTGTTCTGTCCCAGGCTACATTGTAGTGAGAGTAAGGATATTCTACATTTTTTTTTTCAATTTGAGGACTTATGGATAAGTGTTTTAATGAATATGTGACTAATTTGGTAACACCTAACAATCAAAATGGAAAAGGCAATTCCAAATATATGTAAGGCCTCATCTGGTTTAGCTGTATTTCTTTTCTATTATGTTTAGTTTTACCAATAATATTATGAAATGTAGTCAATATTTAGTAGGGTTAGGGTTAGGGTAAGAAATTGAATACATGAATGATAAATAAAATAAGAAAATTCCTACAAGGTCATGCAAGCATGTGCTATGCAAATGTATTTCCAAAATGCCATCATAAGCAATGACATAAAATTTCCATGGCCCCAAATAAAACACAAGTAGAGAGGGAGAAGAATGATATCTGAGGTGGGTTATCTGGAATGGGGTATGCTGAGAAGCTCACAATGATGGAGTTGGCAGAAAAGCGTATAAAATTAAGGTACAGGTAAACCTTCCACAAACATGGAGGTGTGCTGGCCTAATAGTTTCTTGACAGCCTGTCTCTAAGTTTTGGTACTTGAAATTTGTATTGTTGTCAGGAGCCTTGCCTCCCTTGGCAGTAAGATAATCATAGCTGGATCTCCATTTGTGTGAACTGGAGAAAGACATAGTTTTCTGTTCTTTAATGTGCATGAGGCAGGAGAGCTGAATCCTCTTCCTGGAGGTGAACTTTGGCCACTTGGGGCTTAATGTCTTCATGTGTGCAATGTGAAGCCATTGGGCCATCCTCGAGCTTTCACAATGGTTCTAATGCCATCACAGGAAGTTTGATATTTGCTTGAAGAAGAATGTAAAGGTCAATTGGGACATAGTGCTGAAGATAGTTACATCACAGGTGGTGAATCAATATCTGCAGGAGAAAACATCAGCCTGACTGCTATCCCATATATGTTCCCAACTCAGACTAGAACCCTGATTCTGAGCGTAGTTCCAATCCAATCTCGACAACAGGATGCTTTGACTTAGGAGGGTCTGCTTGCTGCATGATTTGAGAAACATGCTGTTTGGAAGCCAATACCACATCCTCATGGTTTTGGCACAGATTTCTTGACACACACCTCCTCTCCAATGCCCCAGGCCCCATCATCAGCATGCTCAAACTCACTGGTTCTGTAATCTCCAGCATTTTCATGAGTTTCTGTCAATGAATTCCCCTTCTCATTCAGTCATGATGAGCAATAAGAAGCTCCTAAAGTGCTCCAGTGGTTCTAGGTTATGGGAATTTCCAATTTTTCAAGCTATAGATATAGCCATATTTCAAGAATGAAGTAAGAGGTAGTGTGGAATTTGGGTTGAAACAGAGGCATTTTTTGTATTTTCCAGTGGACATAAGGCAGCAGAGATGAATCCTCTTCCTGGAGGTGAACTGTTGCTACTAGGGGCTAAATGTCTCCCAATGTGGATTGTGAAGCCATTGGGACATCCTCCAGTTTTTATGGTGGTTCTTGAACCATCACAGGGAATTTGGTATTTGATTCAAGAAAATAGAAGTTGTTCAACTGGGACATGGTGGTGCAAGGAGTTATAGCAAATCATGGTGAATCATGGCCTCCAGGAGAAAATACCATCTTGTCTGCTATCCTATACACCTTTCCCAATTCAGAGTAGAAACATGATTCTGAGCATAGCCCTGAACCACTACAACAAAATACCTTGACATATGAGGATGTGCTTGCTGCATAATGTCAGTGACATGCTGTTTGGAAGGAAATGCCAGATCCACATGGCCGTTGCACAGATTTCTTTGCACACACCTTCACTCATCTGCCACAGGCCCCATTATCAGAGAGCTCAAAATCACTGGTGTCTGTGTTACCTAGAATTTTAATGAGTTCCTCACAATAAAGTTCTTCTTTTATCCCATCATGATGAGCAACAGAAGTTCCTAAGGTGCTCTAGTGGTTCTTGGCCATGGGAATTTCAAAACTGTTTGGGTAAAGGTATAGCCATATGTCAAGAATGAAGTAAGTTGTCCTGCAGGGTTTGGATTGAGACGGGGCAAAAAAGTATTGAGGACTCTTAGTTGGAACCTCTGGAGAACACACACAGGGAGAGCTTCCCAAATACTAGCCAAGAGGTCACATGCAGTCAGGCCAATGGGCATAAAATGTGAGGTACATGTGTGTATCAGGCTCTCAACTTTGGTTGACAAGGCTCTACAGAAAAAAATGTGTGAACTCATGGCTGAGATCCCTAGTGCTCTGGAGAAATCCACACCGGACCTAGCTGTAAGTTCTTAAGGATACCTCTTGTGACTTAGATACCTAAAATACCAAACAACTCGCTGTAATCCCTCTACTGGGTAAGCCCCACAACTGAGGTCTCCACTGAGGTTCACACTAGAGTGGAACCTGAGGTTTACCCTGTCATCACTTACAACAACTACACAAATACCCACACTTAAAACAAGAACCCTCCCTCATGGCCCAAAGTCTACTCATCTTCTTTCATGTAGCCATGCCTCATCAATATCTGGCTGGATCTTTTATCACCTAGAGAATTCCAGGACTTTGGCAAATGTAATATCCAGTGCCCCTGATTTGCCTAAAGGCACGGTGGGTTCACAAACTTCCTGAGAACAAGGGAAGCTAAAAAGTGCTTTCACGTTTGAAACAGCTTTTCCTGAGGCTTCACAAAAGAGAGGCCTGAGGCAAAGAAATTGTTCACTTTCATGGGAACATAACAATAGGGAACAACAAAGCCCTTCACAGAGTTTTCCACAGGACCAAGACTATAGCATTTACTCCTACTGCTCATTCTACTTGGATGACTTCTCTGTAGAGCATATGCAGGCTGGGCTCTCCTCTGAAGATCTTACCTTTCACAGTGATTTCTGAATTTCACAGTGATGCTCTGGCTTCCCTTCACCAAGCCAATATATGGCCACTTCAGAGAGCTTGGGGGTGGAACATATCTTTTACAGGAACCTATGTGCACCTTCTGGGTAGCAGCCAAGAATTAGAGGGATAGAAAAAAATCATGGACATAGTAGGTGTTCCCCATCCACAAGGAAAGCAGTAGTCCATTCATTAATTTGCCAGAATGAGTGCTTGGAAGGTTTCCACTAGACAGGACACATCCACTGATGCATTTTTCCTCTTCTCCCTAGAATGAAAGATTAAAAGGGATATATCAACCTACAAACAGTAGCCATCAGCAAAATAACTCATAACTCTATAGTCAATGAAAACCCAAACAAATGGTTTTCCCTCCATATTCTCAGGGAATAAGAGAAAAAAACAAAAATACACACACACAAGTGGAGAGGGTCTGCTTCTATCCAAAGCATCATCTGACTGGTAGGTTAAACTGTGTTCATCTGTAATTGCCTATCCTGTTTCAGCTCTGGTAATACTGGGACAACTCACTGGAATTGTCCTGACTCCGTGATAATTCAGTACTTTCATTCTCAGGAAAGACCCCTCCCCAGTGCTTTCCTGGCATTTGCCCATCCACAGATCAGTAGATGCCAAGAAAGTATGTCTCTGTCCTTAGTGACTGAAAACAAGTGAGCAGACTGGGACTGTGTCTGGCTCTGGGTGTCTGGCTACCTGGATTCCAAATTCAGTGAGTTCCATCACCAAGGAAGTGAGGTGAGGTCACTTCCTTAGCCAATGAAGTGAGGTGACTTCATTTCCTTGGCAACCACATTCTCTTACCAGGTGATGACCAGGGCCCCATGAGATGGAGGTTGCACACATCTTCCTGTGACATTTCACAAGTTGACAAAGTTACACCAACATGCCCAGGATCAAGTACCCAGACAGGCCTGGTTTTGTCCATCTTCCCTGGACTGAGAAGACAAAACTTGATTCAGACATATCACCTCATTCTGACCATGTTTTTTTTTTTTTTTTGGCCTGGAAGATGACATTATGCCTCTCAGGGCCTACATATCTGCCTTAATATTCCCCAGGGATCTTTCTGGTCTCCACCTCTGAGGTTTGCAGCAGGTGGATGATACCCCACATTCCTGTACTGCAAGATCAACTCTATAAATGCTCTTTTGTCAAATAAGATTGAAGTAATGGAGTAAGGTTAGAGTCAACATTACATTTTGTTTTGGGGTAGGAGTAATTGTAATGCAATAATAAAATTGATATTAGAAAACATGAATATTCATAAGAATGTATATATGACAAATATCTATAAAAATATATAAAATATGTAAGATCTAAAACACAGAAGAGCACTAGATGTGTAACTTGGATTCATATTTTTAAATTATGGGATGCACAGATATATCATATAAATCAATATATAATGACATATGCCAGTGTACCATTGGTAATTGAATGTATAAGTCAACATCCCCTTAAATATGCACACTGTGTAGGTTTACAATATAGATTTAAGGTTTGGATTGAGACAGGGGCAAAAAAGTAGTGAGGACTCTTATTTGGAACCTTTGGAGAATACACACAGGGAGAGCTTCCCAAATACTAGCCAAGAGGTCATATGTAGTCAGGCCAATGGGTATAAAATGGGAGGAACATGTGTGTATCAGACTCCCTACATTGGCAGACAATGCTCTACCAATAAATGTGTGTGAAATTCTGCCTAACATTCCCTCTGTTGTGGAGTAATCTACACTGGGCCTAACTCCAATTTCCAATAAAACATCTGATGCTTATGTACCTCGAGTCCCACCTCAATTCACTATAATAGTAATATAGTGAGAGCCCCAGAACTCAGGTATCTGATGAGATTCACATCAGCATGGAACCTCAGGTTTACTCAGCCATGTCTTAAAAGTACCACACATATACCCAAATTTCAAAGAAGAACCCTCCCTCATGGCCCAAATTCCACTCATCTTCTCCCATGTAGCCACTCCTCACCAACATCTGGCTGGAGATTTCCATTCCTAGAGAAGTCCAGGGACTGTATCAATCATAAAGTCCAGTGCTCCTCTTTTGCCTAAAAACATGGTGGGCTTGACACAATTCCTGAGAATAAGGGAAGCTATGCACTATGCACTATGCACTTCTTCCCAAATTAGAGTCCTAGTGTCTGCCAATGGTAGGTTCTTTGTGTGTATTTGAGGAAAAAAAGAACTCAACCATCTATGTCCTAGGTATCTCAGGGTGAGGACAAACATATTCCACCTAGAGGGTCCCTGTTGTCACTTCTTGAATGTCAGGTGTCTTAGTAGATGCAGTTAAGACTCAATCCACATTAAAAAAATAATTTTAGTTGTAGGTGGACAAACAATATCCTTTGTGCTGAGGATCTAAGTTAGTGCTTCACACGTGCAAGGCAAGCAATTTACTACTGAGTGACAGCTGCAGCCACTACATTAATTTTGAAACTGCTCTACCTGAGGCTTCACAATAGAGAGGGTTGAGGCAAAGAACTTCTTCACATTTTTGGAAACAGAAACATAGGGAAGACCAATGCCCCTGATAGATTTCCACATGACCAAAACTATGGCAATTACTTCTACTGTTCATCCTATTTGGATTTCTTTCTTTCCAAGCAAGGTCCTCCTATGAAAACCATACCTTTCCGAGTGATATCTGAGTTTCACAGTGATGCTCAACATTCCTTTCACCAAGCCAACAAATGGCCATTTCACAGGGCTTGGAGGTGGTGTGTGTGTGTGTGTGTGTGTGTGTGTGTGTATGTGTGTATATATATAATATATAAAATATAATTATATAATGTATTGTTAATATATAATTATATAATATTTATATATAATTATATTATATTGTATATATAGTATATAATATTATATTGTAATATAATATAAAATATTATATATATATATATATATATATATATATATATATATATATATATATATATATATATAAAACTCAAAACCATGAAATCCTTCAGGGTACTGACCAAATTTCAGGAGGAATACATAAAGTCATGGACATTATAGGTGTTATCCATCCACAGGCAAGCAGTAGGTTATTCATAAATTTGTAGGATGAGTGCTGGGAATGTTTCCACTAGACAGCACACATCCATTGATACAATTTTTTTCTCTTCTTCTCCCTAGTATGATATATTAAGAGGGATACATCAACTTAAAAAAACAGTAGCCAGCAGGAAAATGACTCACTACTATACCATCAATGAAAATGTAACAAATGACTTTCCCTTCATTTTCACACTGAATATGAGACACAAACAGAAATACAAACACAAATATCAATACACATGTGCAAACATTCTCTCTCTCTCTCTCTCTCTCTCTCTCTCTCTCTCTCTCTCTCTCTCTCTCTCACACACACACACACACACACATACACACACACCCCTGGAGATTTTCTGTGTCTATCCAAGTGTCATCTGACTGGTGGGTTAAACTATGTTCACCTGCAAGTACCTGACTTGTCTCAGCTCTGATGTCTTTGGGCATACTCACCAGAATTGTCATGACACAGGAGAATTCACCAACTCCATTCTCAGGAAAGGCCCCTACTCTGTGCTTTCCTTGCTTTGCAAATCCACAGATTAGTATTTGCCATGAATGTATGACTCTGTACTTGCTGACTCAAAACAATTGAACAGATTAGGATTGTGTCTGGCTCTGGTTGCCTACTACCTGGATTTCAACTTCTGCATGTTCCATTGCCAAGAAAGTGAGGTAAGGTCACTTGCTTGTCAACCCATTAGCTGAGTTCCATTCTCCTACCAGGTGTTTCAAAGGGCCCCATGACATGGAGGATGCATTCATCTTTCTGTGACATTTTCATGAGTTGAAATAACTATACCAACACACTTTGATCAGGTGCTCAGACAGGCCTGGTTATAGCCATCTTCCATATATTTTGGAGACAGGGGATGCTGTAATTTTGGCCATCTTTTCTGTCCTGGAATTTGACAATATGCCTCTTGGCCCTACATAGCTGCCTTAATCTTGTCTAGAAATTACTCTAGTGTCTACTTTTGAGGTTGTCAACAGGTGTGTCATCCCTTACATATTTGTACTCCCACAACAACCCTATACATACTCTTATATATCAAATTTGATTTAGATATTGGAGGAAGGAACAAGTCAACTTTAAATTATTTTTAATCTTTTTAATTTTTTGAAAATTTTAATTTGTTTTGTATGACATCAGAATGTATCATAATTCATATTACACATACAGAACACATTTTTTCATATCTCTGGTTGTATGCATACTATATTCATACCATTCATGTCTTCATACATGTATTTAGGTTAATTATGTCTATCTCATTTCACCATCTTTTCTACCCTCATGCCCCTTCCCTTTCCCTTCCACCCCGTTGCCCTATCTAGAGTTTGTCGAATTCTCCCATGCTCCCCCTGCCAACCCCACTATGAATCTGCCTCCTTATATCAGAGAATTAAACATTTGACATTTGCTTTAGGGGGATTGGCTAACTTCACTTAGCTTTATATTCGCCAACTCCATCCACATACCTGCAAATGCCATGATTTCATTCTCTTTTATTGCTGAGTAATATTCTGTCATGTATTTATATACCACATTTTCTTTATCCATTCATCTACTGAAGGGCATATAGATTGGTTCCATAGTTTATCTATTGTGAATTGTGCTGCTAGAAACAATGATGTGGCTGTGTTCCTGTAGTATGCTATTTTTAAGACTTTGGGATATAGTGCAAGGAGTGGGATAGCTGGGTCAAATGGTGCTTCCATTCCAAGTTTTCCAAGAAATCTCCATACTGCTTTCCATATGGCTGCACCAAATTGCAGTCCCACCAGCAATATATCAGTGTAAATTTTCCCACTTATCCTCACCAATACTTATTGTATTCTTTTTTAAATATTTATTTTTTAGTTGTAGTCAGAAATAATACATTTATTTCATTTATTTATTTTTATGTAGTGCTGAGGTTTGAACCCAGGGCCTCACATGTGCTAGGCAAGCATTTTATCTCAGAGCCACAACCCCAGCCCTGTTGTTTGTATTCTTAATAGCTGCTGTTCTTACTGGAGTGAGGTGAAACCTTAGAGTCGTTTTTTTTTTTTTTTTTTTGCATTTCTCTAATTGTTAGAGATGTTGAGCATTTTTTCATGTATTTGTTGATTAATTGCATATCATCTTCTGAGAAGAGTCTGCTAAGTTCCTTGGTCTATTTATCAAATTTGACATTGTCCATTTTCAGGTTCCCCCTTAACTCAACTTGGAAAAGAGAAACAAGCTAACAAGGCCAAGGAAATTTTTATGTGTAGAAAACAGTGAATTCAATAAGCCAAAATAAAACAAGAATAAGAACTCCGTGAACATATTTTTAAGCAAATATCATTCTGTAGTCCAGGATTACAAACATGAGAAAAAGAAAAATGACTGAGGAAGATGTGACTTATGGGAGTGTTCAAGTTATGTCCCAAGTACCTGCAAATAAAAGTGACTGGTCTCCCTGGGAATTATGTTGCCTTAAAAATGGGCCCCATTATGGTAAACATAATATTTTCTGCACTGAGATTTAAGTACTTTTAATAAAACATATATAATACTTAATAAATTTAACTGAAATTGAATACACATCAAAAGTATTCCAAAACAAGGTACATAAAAAGAAATAAAGGGCACCATAATCTTAAAAGAGCTGGACACATAGTAATATGTTTCATATTCCATTCCTAACCTATTGTGAATATTCCAGGGAGAATCATTTTGAGTCAAAAAACAAGTATTGATTCTTAAGACATTGAGAGGTTCTAAATGTATCCTTGTAATCAATTATTTCTGGACATTTCCTTCTTAGCAGTTTTAAAATAATAATACAAGTCCTATTTAATTCATTTTTCATTTATTTCTAGATTCATAGGGAGGAAAAATGAGGTACTAATGGAGATATAAAGCACCATTATTTTGTTAAGAAGAAGAAGATAAAAAGACAAACTAAACACAATTCAGACAGTCATTAATTGTTCTGACCAAACCTTGCAAAACAGTCATTTGGATTTATAATGCATGAAAAATATAAAATAATATCTGACCCTAGAAGTTATTCTACATTTTCTAACTTTTGAAAAACAATTAAACTCAAAATGTATACACAAGTCCCATTTGTGGAACTATTTTTATTCTAATTCTTTTGTCAAAATCACTATAAATATGCATGTGCTTGAAGGTGAGTTCCAGCCAGAGGTCAAGTAGGTGGGTATTTTCTAAGAAATAGAAGGAGGGGGGGAAAACTCTCCAGAAAACATTATTAATCATGTCAGCTAAAGATGTGTCAACTACACATCTTAGTCATAGGCTCATTAAGAGCAAAGAGTAAGTCCCAATTGAGAATGTAGATAAAGCAGAATTTCACTGTGGAGGAAGAGCTAACAATGGATTAGTCTCCCACTCAACCACATTATCAAGCAATGAGACAGCATATTTAACAATCAGTTGTAATAAACCTGTTTCTGAGAAATATTTCTGAAAAGTTAAAGCTATCTGCTGAACTAATTACACTTTTACTAACATTCTTATACAAAAAAATCTGCTTTCAGATTATTTAACTTTACCTCCAAAGAACTAGGAGTGATTCCAAATTTTGACTGTCTGATTACTTTACTTCCATGGAAAATATTCCTTCAGTTTC